ACTGGACAGAAATATTACTATTACTGACGTGGACACACTGACAAAAAGATCTTTGGATTCATCAAACTTAAAATAACAAAATAAGGATAATCAGTGCCATTTACATGGCCTCAGTGGTCCTTTAAACCAATGAAATGAAAACATCCAAATGTATGACATTTACCCTTTTGCAAATTACATGCATCATATCAATTTCATTTTTACCTTCTTTGTTTTTAAAGCCAGAATGCATCCAAGCATCTGACTTGAAATGTGATGGAGCCGGGGGGCGAATTTTCTCAGTCTCTTCCATATTTTGTTTACGAATGACTCGTCTCAGTATCCCGCAGCCGGAAATGCTTGTGACACAAAGCAGAGGGCGTCAACACATCCGCAGCGACATCTGCTGGACTGGAAGTTGTATTCCACTTGATTTGGCTGATGTGCGCCACCCATTCATGTATTTTATTTGTTAAATTTTTTTTTTTTTATCGATTCTTGCCTTCAAGAATCAATGCAGTAGATCACAAAAATTAGAATCGCGATGCATCGTCATGAGGATTATTTTGAACACCCTTAAAATACGTTCTCTGACATCCAAAGTCCTAGTTAATGAAATCTCTGTACATATCTCTGTGTGCTTTAACACTTTGGTACAGATATGGTATCAGCACTGGGACTTATAGACATTATTATTGCAATTACTTTGATTACTTATTACTGATAACTATATATACTAGTATACAAACTATACACTTCAATTATTATTGCAATTACTTCATTCTACTTAAAATATTAGACTGAAATCAGGTCAGTTAAGAACCAGATCTTAAGAATTAAAGAGGTCCATTATTTGTTTTCAATTTTGTTTACTTCAGGAGCAAATCTCTTTATTTAATGTTTAATGTTAATCCAAAGTGTGAATTCTACATATAGATTTTTGCATTTTTTGATGTTCATTTTCTACAATTTCGTTTTACAGGTTTTCTCCAATAAACCCCAATCAAACCACTGGCATCTTTTAGGGATATATTATTTCTAAATTAACATTTTACATTTGAAGTAAGTCTGAGATTAATCAAACTATGTGACTGTTCAGGACCCCATACATGCCTGAAAGTACAATTAGTAGACAGGCAATATACATACATACATCTCACTTTCAAAGCTGACTTCTCCCTGATCTCACTGACTTCTCCTGTCTTAGCATTAATATAATTATTTCATTTCATATATTAAATTTCAAATATGTGAAACTTAACACAATATAGTAAAAGAAACAGTAACATTTCAAAATATTTGAAAATGAATATATGTAATAAAGATGACTCTGTTTAAATGGATAGGTAAGTGCATAAGGAAAAATCTTAAGAGCAAAAACAACTTTAAAATGTCTCAGCCAAACGCATCAGACCACTTGATAAAATTTAAATCATATCTGCATGATATGCAGGTTGTCTTTAGAGCCTATATTTTACAACTTTTACTACAATATGTTTAGCATCCACATTTTTTTTTCTTTTGTTCTCTGTATCTTCTATATCAGCTTATTTTCAATTGCTACAATCTGCAAAACTCAAGAAAAAAAAAATGCTTTGTACCAATATTTTCCTGAATAGATTTTACATTTTCCCTCAAGTTCATTCATTATTCACTCCTCTTAAATTAGTCTCAATACTCCCATTATAATCTATTAAAAGTCACACACTCATTTACGTTCTTTCCAAACTGCTTTTCATCCTCTGCTGGCAAGGTCAGACCTGGATGCTATCGACAGTGTATTTGTATTCATCACATCTTCATTCACACCAAACAAGCAAACTACGGGCAGGCAGGCAGCAGCGCAGTGTCATCACTCTCTGCAGGTACTCTTCACGCAACCTCTGCTGCTTATTCCTACACTAACTCCAAACTGTTGTGTTGTTGGTATTCTGAACCCGACCTGTCCGGGTTGATGAGATTTTTCTGCAAATGTGAGCTGCTTTTTTTTCTCACCAGGAGACAAGGACTGTCAGTTCCTCTCATTATCATAATTTGAGTGTTTTGTTATCATTGTGGTAAAAAATAAATAAATCAGGATAAGTGGAGGAATCTTCTACTCCCAGGCATAATCTGCCTCGAGGTGTTTAACGATGTGGATAAACGTAGTAAACAGAGATACAGAAAGGAGGGAGGCAGAGAAGAGACAGATGGAAAGATGGAGGTACAGATGAAGGGAGGAAGTGAGAAAATGAAAGAGAAGAAGAAAGCTTTGGCCAAGGGAGACGTGAGTCAAGGCAGACTTCCTGCATTAGGTGCAAGGACAATATCTCCTTCCAAACAATAAACACACACAAGACCATGTCAGTTGAGTCCATAAAGGCTGTAATTATTAATTACCACCTGCAGTTATTCATAACAACCATATTTACAGATAAAATCATAATTCACTCTTAAAATATATATTTTTAAAAGCCATTTGTTTAAATTATGATATTGTCCATAAAAATCTAAGGGCGAAAAAAAATGGCTGCCACAAAATAAAAGAATCTTCCCTCAATAGCAATAAAAAAATAAACACATCTTTGTTTTTTTTATTAACTGCTCAAGTGTAAAAAAAATCTTTTAGATGGTAAGACGCAAAGGTAATTATTTGAAGCTGAATTATTCAAAAACAACAGTAAAGAATAAATGACATGTCTCTATAATGAGGCAAAACTTGACTGGAGAGCCGAGGGAGAACACTTTCATCATACTGAATTATTGTTTCAGCCCCAGTTCTTTTTGTGCTATTCTGCAACAGAACATATGACTGCTTCAAGAACAAGGAGTTTTTTTTTATGCCCTGAAACTGTTTTTGTTGTTTTTTTCAACTAGCAGGATAGCAGCTTTCTCTCAAGTGACTGGAGGACACCAGCTGGTGGATGGATACAGGATACAGTGGACGGTCTTAAACCTGCAGAAGACAGAGAAAAGAGTAACATTAACTCCAACAAGGTCATAGTCAACAGATTGACTTTACTTATAAATTGAAAAACAAGCTGATTTAACTTGGACCAAGAGCTGCAACATAAAACCCCTGAGAATATGCGGGATATTTAGGCCAATGATGATAATTATGCACTTTTTGCCAAAGCATCTATAAAAAGCATCTCTATCACTTTTATACACCTTCATGGAAGCCTAAAGAGTAGAAAAGACATGAAAACAAAAGCCAGAATCATCAGACTGCCATCCCAATGGTGTGTCTTCTCACCCCAGTCCTCTTTTCTCAGTATATTAATGACCCCTCGATACAACGTATGATGTTTGCAGAGGACATCACTCTCACTGATCTGATCAAGAGGGTCAGACAGCGTACAGACATGAGGTGAATCGTCGGTCTACTGGTGCGGTCAGAACTACCTAGAGCTTAACCAACTACAGACAGTGATGGATGATGGAGGACTTCTGGAGAATGTGACATACTTTGCCTTCCATCACCATCATCAACCACACTCTGTCTACTGTGGATCACCTCCAGTTGCTACTGGATAGTAGTGACCTAGTGCAGTGATTCGCAACTGGGGGTACTCGCACCCCTAGTGGTCTGAGAGTGCATTGCGCGAAAATATTTTATTTCAAGGGTGATAAAATAAAATAGGCCTTGGGTCTGTTCTTACTTGTTAGAACCCACCTGGAAAAAAAACAAGCTTTCATCAACCAAAAAGTAAGTAATTCTTGTTTGAGTTCACCTTCAGCTTTGACACATATCCAAACCAAGCAGAGGAGGCCTGGATGTAGAGAACAGCCTGGAATCAGCTGTTTATCCTCACCTGTGCTCATTAAACCAAAGCTTAGGGCTCATGAATGATGAAAACCATGAAAATAAACGGAGTCAGTCTGACTAGAATTTTTGTTCAGTATTTTGTTCCCAATTCCTGATTTATAGTGTGATTTTATTTTGTAATTCATTTTCCTATTCCTTACTAACTTCCAGGTATCATATTTATGTAGATTTTTTATATTAGTTGGAAAGAATAAAATGCCAAAGAATTAAATGCTCAAGTTAAAAAGATGAAATACGATACTCTTTATTTTATAGTGAGTTACTGTATTGTACATTCCACTTTTGGGCAGTCATCAATACTTTTGGCTGAGAGGGATACTCATGCTAAGACAAAATGCCCGAAGGGGTACACAAGTCAAAAAATGTTGGAAACCACTGGCCTAATGGTTAGAAAGTGATGCATTTGTGTCCTACAAAGTGTTAAACCTAGTTTAACACTCCATGTCCCTGAGCAAGACCTTTAACCTTAGGATGCTCGCAGTGCACATCCAAGAGTGATAGCCAACTGCTCCCTTAGGGATGGGTAAAATGCTTATGATAAATTTCCTGCTACAAAAGCATTTTTCTAGGAAGCAAACTTTACTGGTCTGTTAGAAGGACCTGAGCTGTTCCTTACACATTTACACTGCCTAGACATCCTGCAATAACTCAAGAGGTACAACCTACTACATGCGTTTTGGTCATCTTCTACATCCTCTTCATAGTGCCATTATTCAGTCTGCCTTGTTTTCCCATCCCTGTGTGTTCCAGCTCCTCCACAAACAAGTCTAAGTCTAAACTGCAACAAACAATTATTTCTGCAGAGATTCTCACTGGTACTGACTTTCCCTCCATCCAGGTCTGACACCAGTGTAGGGTCAGGAAAAGGGCAACACTACTTGCAAAATTCAGTTGAAACACAGTTCGTTTCTTCCCCGAGGCTGTCAGTGTGATGAACACAATGAACAGCTCGCAACCAGAGAAATCAGCTACACCACTGTGAAGCAAATTAAACAAATTTGCACTAAGAAAACCTTCCTTTTTTGGTGACTGGACATATAATAATAAAGCTGGACACACAAATACATGTAAAAATCACTCTTTTTATCCGTATTTATTTTTGCTCTATTTTATTCCATGTTTATTCGATAGGAATAGATTAATGATCATGGATCACTTCAAATAAATCTAAGGCTTCCATCTCAGTATTGGAAGCAATAAGTAATGCAACACCCATCCCTAGAAAGGACTTAACATCGACAGGAAATTTTGTAAAATACACATTTAAACACATTTAAAACTCTTAATAAAATTCCTTAAGTGTATATTTATTCAGATACTGTAAGAATTATACCTATTATTTTTTTAGCATTATTTGTATTTTTTTTTTTTTGTCAGGTAAAGCCTGTTAATGTGCATAAATATCAAGTTTTAAATATCAAATTTGCTTTTTTGTTTTCTCTCATAAACATTAAACATCACAAGTCAAATCTGCATAAATCTATTGTAACTGAGTGCCCTGGCTGACTTATCCAACCACAAAAACCAAAAGTGTGTATATCACATGTTATCAGATAGGTGGTCCTTTACATGAATTAACTATTCCATCCAAGTCCTGGCTTGGTGGCATTTGTCGCCTATCTCTCTTTACTCCAAGTTCCTGTTTGCCTACTATATAAAGTAAAGGACAATTCTGTCTAAGAATAACTAAAAAATACTATTTAATTTGTTAATTAAGATTTAACATTTTATATTTAATAATTGAGCTCCTAGCTCCATTTAAAGTTCCAATAACAGAAAAATCATTCAAATTTATCAAGAATTTAGATTTTTGTTGAAGTTCCTTTTTAAGGAGTAGTAACTGAGTTACTATTTGAGAAAAGTAACTAGTAACTATTAGGAATTGCTTTTTTTAAATAATGTTTCCAATACTGCTCACAAAACCGTAATTACCACCTGCAGTTCTCCACTTCAGGTTACTGGTTTGGTTTCTATAAATAAGATGTTAAATTTGCTTGTTCTCCATGTAATTCTGCATGTTGGTCAAAAAACAACATACCAACATGACATTTTGTAGCACTATTGCTTTGCAGCAAGAAGGTTCTGGGTTCAATTCCTGGCTTAGGGTATTTCTGGATGGAGTTTGCATGATCTCCCCGTGAATGTGTGGGTTTTCTCAGGGTACTCCAGGTTCCCCTTGCGCACCAAAAACATGACTGTAGGGTTAATTGGTGTCTCTAAGTTGACGGTAGGTGAATGGTTGGGTGTCTCTGTTGCTTTTTACCCTTTCTGTGTTTAGCTCGCCTTTTGCCCATAGATTGATAGAGATAGGCACCAACCCCAGTGTGAACCTGACAGATAAGTAATATTATCATTAATGTAGGTAATCGAATACCTTCTGCAGCAGCTTTTTTTTTCTGTTTATATTACCAGTAACTTTCTGTGCACAGCCTTCTGTTCTCAATTATAGATGTATTGAAATTAAGAATAAAAAACTTGGATTGGACAATCAAAATGTTTTTAGAACAATATAAATGAATTTGATTGTAGCTATATGGAAGCAGCTTGATGTAATAGGATTGTTCACTTGCCTGTAACTTAGTTGTAATTGCTGCCTCTTTAATTCAAGGAAGCAGAAGGTTGGTCAGTACACAATGTTCCCTTTTTTTCCCCAAGTTAAATATTTTCTTTGAACTTTTATAAACCTCAGATGGGGTGGATTTTTTTCACATTAGATATCAAGAAAAGTGTAATTCTAAAAAAAAAATGTATTTTGTTGACAGCGTCATAACCTTTTGTAACAATATGAAAATTTTAATATTAGCATGCATAAACCATAGGAAGTTCAACAGTTCATAGCCTGAGTTTCACTCACACAATGCTAGTCTGCTGTGTGCACCCACCAAGCGTCACAGAGGTTTTGCCTGAGGCTTTAGTAGAATTCAAAGACACTAAATACATTAATTTAGACAGAAGGGAATTTCTCATATCTTCTCATTTACAAATACGTGTTGGTAATAACTAACCTGGAGGGGTCCTCTTCCTTAGAAAAGCTCCCTTTTACCTCAATGCTGTTCATCTTGTTCTCAAACATCCCATAGCTCAGAGTTACCTGCGGTGAACACATGCAAAGATGTAAAACGGTATGAAAAGGTGCAGCAGAATCAGTTTCTGTGTATTCAAAGGACATATGTGTGCTTATACCTGTCGTGGGAGGCTTGTTTGACTTATTAGAAGCAGGTTTTCCAAATGGGAGTGGAACAATGAACAGTGGACCATTTTGATGCCCAGCATCTTCTCCACAATAAAGCCCACGGTGCAGTCATCTGGGAGACGGATTTTGGCTGACGTCTGCTCAAAGTGTGAGCCACTGGGGGAAAAAAGGGGAAAAAGACATGTGCTTAGGGAAATACTGACTGGGCCTTTGATACTGACATTATAGGTGAATTTGCATTTGGGGTCCATTAACTATTCATTACTGTTACTAGTTTTAGTGCTGACGTTTTTTTCCAAAAACTTTGTATTTTTGGACTGATTCCCCACCATGCAACCATGGGCAGCCGTCTTAATTCTCTCAGTGCCGTGTAAATTTATCTTAGTGCTGTTTTATGCCTTTTAGGATTTAATATGTTTTATTAGTTTATTTTTTATGGCTTTAGACTATCAAAAATAGAATATTTGTTCTTTTCTTATTACAGCCCCATGTTTAGAAGGAACTAAAAGGGTCTTAGGTGTTTTCTTTATAAAACACAGTTTTATTTCATGCATAAATATTAGATTTATTCTAATGCTGAAAAAGAAATGAAATCCAAAGCTTGAAGTCATTTAAAATAAAAGTCTAACTCACTGGTCTCTAAAAGTTTTTGTGACAATAATCAGAGGTCCAGCATTAGAATTAATGGTCCCTACAGTCCTCTTCAGAGGCCAAACTTAATGACGTAGAAAGTTGAAGTAGAAGTTCTTAAGAATTTTATAACAGCTAGAAAAACATCTACAAATGGATAAAGACAAAATCTCATTATTTAATTGTAAGTGTTGTCATTATAATCCTGTTTGAATCCATTACTGGTGATGCTTTTGTACTAAATGATAGTTGGAGACAAAAATATCAATAGTAATAGTTTTTAAACTGCCTTTAATGGAAGTGTCAGTCTGAGCAATGATGCCGGCTGTTTTTATATTTCCATGGCAGTTCAGAACATTTATGCAAACAGCTTTTGTATTGATACATACCTGGCCCAAGGAGACATCTTTTCTGCCAGCCTACGACTTAGACAGAAACCTGCGCCTCCAGTGGCAAACCAGAACTGCACATTTGTCTGGCAGAAAACAACATATGTAGAGATATTCAATCAACATAAAAGCTTAAAAAATATGCACATCTATTATAGGAATTTAAAGGTTAGGGAATTTAATCAAAAATACTAATGTGTAAACAGTATGGTCATATTCTGTACAGCTTTGTATATTACATCTGGTCTATAGAAGGCAAGAAAATATATGTCTTTCATATGTGGCAAACAGCTTTATGATATGACCTAGTATTATAGCCGGCCTTAGAGATTAAGAAAAACTAAATAAAGAGATTAAAGCCATAACATTATGACTTATTTTTCATAAATTACCAGAAAATAGTCATTATATTACAAGATTAACGTAATAATATTACGACTCTTTTCTTATAATATTATGGTTAATATTGTCGTAATGTTTCGAGAATAAAGTAATGTTAGAAAGTCCTCAGATATTTTTGTCCTTTCAGAAAATAAATTTTCTAACACTATCTGACCAGACAGGCAGCGCCAAACTACCAAAGAAGCAACCTGAGCAGCATTTATAAACATAATAATAATCTGATGCTGATGGGCTAAAAGGTTTAATATTTCCTTATTTGTAAAACCAATTTGAAAGTAAAAAATCACAAGATTCTCAACAGTCCTCATTTCAATGCAGTGAATGACAGCTCTTGAGTTAAAATTAAACAGTATTACGTTTATTCTAGAACAACTAACATTGTAATGTTACAACTTGAACTACATATTATTATAGCTTTGTTACGGTAATATTTTTAATTATTTTTAAATATTTTTAATTAAATTAATACTTTAATCTTGTGATATTGTGACTTAATTCTTTTGATTCTACTACTATTTTCATGATGATTTTTTGGTTAGGTTTAGGGCTAAAGTGTGAATTAGTTTAGGGTGAGCTATGCAGTTGTAATGGTTAGGGTTAGGATGGTTGTCAGGGTTATGGCATCAAAGGCTTGAAAAAGAAAATCAATGGAAGTCAATAGGAGTCAATACATGGTCCTCACTACCTCTAGACAAAAGAAAATGGCTGTATTTTAATCTGAAAAACATTCACACAAAGAGAAAAGAATTAGAACAATTAGAAGAAAATTATTGGTACAATTACTTTGTCTTTGGCGCTCAGACCTCGGCAGGAAACATAGCGCTGAATTTTGATAGATATGCATGAAAAGGGGTAAAGAACAGGGCTGTTTCCCTCCCAGCCCCGAAACTGGTGGAGTGGAGATAGATGAAGTTGGTCAGTCTGTAAGACTGCTGGTTAGCAAGACTGTATGCTGAGTTTTAGGGGGAGATCCAATGAATTGCGTGAGCTGATACTAGAGCTTCACTCAGGGACCTGGAAGATAAAAGTCCAGTTGGATAACACAGGTTGAGAGAACCTGTCCATGATGAGCAAGCATGGAGCGACAGTGGAGAGGAAAAACTCCCCATTCGGAAGAAACCTCTGGCAGAACCAGGTTCAACATGGAGGTCTTCTGCAGCACCAGTTGAGATGAGACGCAGAATGCAGTAACAGTCTAGGGGTAATGAAACTCTAATGAAGTTTTGGCTACAATGGTGGAGGAGGGGCTAGAGGTGGGTTGAAACGGGGTCATCTGAATGGAGTCACATAGTGCAACCACCTCCTGCTCACTAGGTAGCAGACAAGTTGCGGAGGCCTTTTAAGATGAACTTTGGATGCTGACTGGCTTTCGTGGAGATGTGGTTCAAAGCTGAGTGGCTGTGTCGTAGGTGGATAAAAGCGATCAAACAGTTTCTTCAGCTGAACTTCCACCTAGGCTCCATGTGTTTGATGAAATTTCCCAAATTCTATTATTTGCTTGGTTCTTTCAGGTCCAGCTTACTATCAATGGCATGTCCACATTAGCTGTTTCTTCCTTCTTTCTTTCACCTGCCTATGTGCTTTATTCTTTCCTTGTCAGCTTTGGTTGTTGTTTGAGGGCCCAATGCAGAGGCAGAGAGGCAGCGGTGAGTTCTTGCAGCTTTAATGACTGAACATAGGTAACAGAGGCAGGATTTCAAAAATCCAACTCAAAATGTAACACAAACCAGAACCAGGGAGACATCAGGGGAAAACAAGCATGAGGAGTCAGGGAAAGACAAGGAGAGACGGTAAGATGAGGATGGAGCACCGAGGAACTGCACAGGGAGAGTATTTAAGGTTGACTGAACAAAGGGAGGACTAACAAGCTGTTTGGGAGCAGGTGTGAACAGAGGCTTCTAGGGAAAGAGCTAAGGAAAAAGAAACCAACACAAGATGGCAGCAGAGGGCAACAAAGAAAAGCCTAAGAATTCAAATACATCCCAAAACAAAACAAAAATAGGAAGTAAACCAATACAACTAGAAAACAAAGAAAAACATGAATCAACATGAAACTGAAAACTCAAAGAAAACTTAACGGAACCCAAACCATAACACTCCTATTTAAAGTTAAATCTCCAGACGGACATTTCTCTCCTTTGAGCTCCTTTTATGTTCTTTAAAATGGTCTCTTTTGTTCCCTCATTTCATTTCCTTGTAATTTAACTTTCTTTCTCTTGAGACTGGTGGATCATTTTAAAGATAGATTCTATCTTTATTCTAGTTTTTACTTTTCTTTTTAACTTTTTTCCACCATACCCAGGACAACATTTAAATTACAACTGCTGTTTGTTTTCTCTGACTAGCATAAAAAACTTTCTTAAACAATTGAACAAAGTATTGTTTCTATTAAAGTAGAAATCTTCTTTTCTGGCTGTTTACAAATGCAACAATGAAGTAGATGCATAGGAACTCTGTATTGTAGGATAAATCATACACTTCTGTGGAACTATCAACTCTTGAATTGGAAAAGACTCTTTGAAACCTTCCCAGGGTCCACAGGGACTTTGTTGTATCAATTTCCATTGTACCATGGAAAAGATTATCAGAAAGACCTTATTAGACCATCATCTTCCACCAAGAATGCCTGGTAATTACTGTTCTACAGAGCTATATTCGTTCCTTTTACCCTTATCTTAACACATTTTTCAAAATAACTGTTGAAAACAGCATGCATTTGATTCTCTTTACTCCAATACTTCTGTATGAAGTCAAGTGCAAACAAATGTCCTCAGAAACAAAACTGATATAAATATAGACAACCTGTGCATAGTTTTATCTCAGAAAAAATAAAGCTGATTTTTGAAGGCCTCAGACGTTCATTGGTGAACATACAGCATCATGAAGACCCAAGATCACAACAGATACCAGGTATACATTTTTGTAGAAGTGTAAGGGTAGGATTAGGTTATTATACAACACCCTGAGCTTTAAAGTCAGCACTGCATTTACTGTATGTCAATTTCGGGCCGTGACAAAGGTATAGGCCAGAACCAAATAAGTCAACATCCCTGAATTGACGTCAATTCGGTGCTTCGTTTGAATTTACCCATTTTATGGTGGAATTGCAAGACTTGCAGAGAAAGGAGGTGTCAGTGGGGTTAAAACTTCTCTGTACGTCCATTTCACCCACTGAATTATCGTTATTCATCTATGACAATGTATCCTTGGTTTTGCATTCTATGACTCCTTTAAAGTATGAAACCCTACTTAGACATAACAATCTATCAAAGTGACAGACCAGCCAAAAAGAGAGTTAAATCACGCAGACAAGACTCGTAACCCTGCGGGAGACAAGAAGAACCAGGAGGAAGAATCTGTCACCCTTATACAAACTTATTTGTATTTTGCCAAAAGCCATGTAGAAGACACAGCAAGTAGATCAAAGTGCTCGGTTGAGACTGAAATAATAGCAAAAAGTTGTGTGTGGAAAAAAAATACTGCATATGACCCTAAACACTGTAAAATGATTTTAGGATGATACTATAGGAACGCTTATTTAAGAGGTGATTGGGAAAGTCGCTGAAGCTGGTGGAAAGATGGATAGAGTAAAGATATTTACACAGGGGCGTGGAAGCCAAAAATGGCGTAATTTGGTCACGGTTAACCCACGATAAATCAAGCTTAACTTTATTGGAAAAAACAATCTATAAGTCAATGTCCATATCTTGGAGGAGACCTAATGTAGAAATCTTGTAGGTGTTTCTGCAGAGAGATATTGTTTTACAGAGCACTGACTCATAGAGGCTACATTAAAAGCACCTCTAACAACTTATTCTTATTTGTATAGAAAGCCTAAGACCATTTTCCCTCCACTTTCAAGTTATGCACAACTCTTTTTTTGGCCTAGCACAATAAATCCAAATACAATGCATCAAGGCTGCTGATTGCAATGTCCTAATATATTAGGTACAATATGTATGAAATACTTTTAGTTCTAAATTGCTCAAAAACTCTCATTTTAGCCCCACTTTAATTTGTTATATTTTTGTCACTCTCCTCCTTTCTTTTCTCCATTCATTATTCAACCTCCCTGCTGCTTCTTAATAGTGCCAGGAAATCAAAAAATGAAAAGAAAAAAAAAAAAGTGGGGAGGTAGAAGAGCCTGACATTTGTTTTTATTTTTTTCCCAAGAGAATGAAAGCTAAAAAAGGAACGATGGATAGAAAGGGTGAGAGAGCAAAAGACTAACAGGAAGCAAAGACTAATAAAGATCTATTTCAATATAAATGGATGCAATCAGAGCAGAGAATGTGAAACCAAAGAGATGAAGAGAGCAATTTCAAGATACGAACAAGAGATTGAAAAGTGCAGAGAGCTTACTGAAATCATGATGCACTTAAACGCAATATCAACAATAATTCTGTTAGCTTGTGGATGAGCATGCACACACACACATACCCACACAGACGTGAATAAATCTATGCTCATTACTACCGCTATACCCAACACCTGTTGTCTATTTAAAGGGATCGTATTGTTTGTGTGCAGGGCTGCTTGTCTGTGCATTCAAATAAGACACTAATCACTCAAAAATGCTCCCCAGGTGAGCCCATGTCACAAAGACACATTTCACACATCCTGATTAAGTCGCTTAGTGGATGAGTGAGCTTATGGATTTTAAATAGATATTATAAATATGGTGGTGTTGGGGTGGGGGGTAATTTTAGCATAAAACCAAAAAGGGTGGTTAGATAAACAGGCTGCTAAATGGCATACATCATCTTTGTATTGTAAAAATAAATTAAATTCTAACAATAATTTACAACTGAAACATACTGCTTCACTGCAAATTGTGTTTTTGTGTTTTTTATGTTTGTTTAGAGTGAGCAACATATTCATTCATCTAATTTTCTTATAGTTAATAAAGATATTTTTTGTAAGTAATTTATATTTCATCACCTACAATGTTTGTATGTGACTAACCTTAAATTATTTATTCATTTGCCTGTTTATTTTTGGCACATTACTTGCTTGTATGAGATTAGCATTTATTTATTTAAAAAACAAATTATATTGTTAATCTTAGTTGTCTTTATTACTTTGTGCTTTTAAATCAAAATTGCTACACTTATTAGGTTTTAGGAATGAAATTCAATTAATGAAAAAGCCAAGTGGATAGTAAATGAATTAGTCATTGTTTAGGCATACCGTTTTATTCCCTTCCAGCAGTTGGTGAGCAGTAATTGGTTTGTCCAGACTGGGCTTCCCAACATAGATGTCCCCTTCCTGTGGGAAGTTCGAGAGCAAAGAGAGGAGACCTTCCAAGTTCACATAGTTATCGTCGTCAACATGGCAAAACCACCTGAAACACAACAGAGGGAAAGAGAAAGAAGAACGTATTGATTTAGATATTTATCACCTGGCACATTCAGCGTTTCAAATGTGCTTTTCAACTAATTGGGTTTCCCAAATGACAGTTACAGTGTGTGGCAGTTTAACCCACTAATGGCTCATGTCAACAGTCCAACTTTAAAGTCATGTTAGGTTGTTTTTTTTAACTGATTATGGCAATTTTGGATTGTGTGAACAGTAAAGCACAGCAAGTTTGGATGTTAAAAATTGGCGCTTCCTTATATTTAATAAAGAAAATTAAGGACGCTTTGAGTGAGTTTGTTTTGTCTCCGATTCCTCTTGAGGAAAAACAGAACAAAGAGGAGTTAGAGCTCTAATCCATTTGCAGACAGAGTCAATATGATTCCTATTTAAATACTTGCACTCAACAGAGGACCATGTGAAGTACTTAGCTTACAGCAAACTCATACCAAACCACATTAAGGGTAATTTTGTACTAAATATACAAAAAAAATGTAAGATCAGCCCATTTAAAGAAGAGATATGGTAAAAAAAAAAAAAAAGCTCCAAAACAGAAAAAACAAGAAGCTGGTCTTTAATAACAGTGGCAACTTTAATCATGTGTTGGGTTGTGCTTTTCTTAGGTTGATGATTAATACTTTACTGTTTAATTTATTAATGCCAGTTATATCTCTATCTCTGTCAGTCATATTATATAAACTCAAGTTTTTTAATGTCATGTACTTTATTGTGTTATTGATATGTTTTTTATGTATCAATGATAATATTCAAGCAACTTAAAACATGTTTTCAAGAGCAATAACTGGGTACACAAATATCTGAAAGTGACCTAAACAGTATGAACATGCACAACACAAGATCCACACATGCACAGAATGATTCACACAAGCACAAAGAAATCCACACACACACAGTACATGATCCACACACGCATAGCACGATTCAGGTAAGCACACAAGATCCACACATGCACAGATCAAGATTCACAAAAAGTATTTCTGGTCCATTAACAATTATAAATGAAATTACAAAGTACCAGTGGCCTCTAAAATTCACTGCATGAAGTACATGAGTGAGGCGGAGCGGGGCGGTGATGGAGGATGTGGAATATGGGGGTAAGTCATCCAATGTGGAGTAGCTTCATATGATCGGCTTATACAAGGGAGCTTTGTGTTTGGTTGCAAACCATTCCCTGTTTGAAAAAATGCATTTGTGTATTGAGGCACGTCAGGGGACTCTCAAAAATCCACACACAAAGGCAGTGAAATTTAAAGACCACTGGTACTTTGTAATTTAATTTTAATTGTTTATGAAATAGTTTTTGTGAATCTTGTTGTGTGCATATGTGGATTTTGTGTGCTTACGTGAATTGTGCTGTGCGTGTGTGGATCTTGTCCTGCTCATGTATGAATCACATATGTGTATTTGTGAAAATTGAGACTGGTCTAGCTTCATAAAACAGGGTCCAGATTATGCACACAGGCTCAAACATGTGCATGAATTGGAATTTGGTTAAAATCTTCCATACAAGTCATATGCTTCTTTTAACCATTAAGAAAGCACTTAAAGTATTCTGCCTAAATTTGTGAGAGCTTTCCAAACTATAAAAAATTGTTTTTGAAACTGCTAACGTTAACATTTAACCTTGTTGAAAATGTATGAAGTTCCTTAAAGCTGGATCTGAAGAAAGAGACCCACCAAGATGAATTACCTTGATCGATTGTGGGAAATTCGATCAAATATGTAGTCGTAAATATGCTATAATTTGAAAGGCATTTATCTAAATAATATTGCAGAGAGGAGTGTGAAAATAAAAAAAAATAGAGATAAAAATGGTGGTTAACTATTTGTCATTCAACACTGAGGGGAAATAACTGTTTAGAGACATCAATAAAACTCTGTCATAAGCATTTTTAATGGGGCGGGTTGAACTTCTAAAGTGTATTGTTTATAGATTAAAAACATTTTATGTCATGAAAAAAAAAAAAGAAAAACATACTTTTGCCTTCTGCCTGCAGGTTTACTTATAAATGGTTATGACAGCAGGAACATCCTACTTTGGTTTCATTTCATCTAATTAAAAATTTTCAGAAGAAGCAGATATTTTTTTTTCGGCACTATTTCCTTGCCATGTTTTATCTTTCACAAAAACTGGGGCAGCCCAGCAACACAATGTAGGAAAACTTGTTTTACTTTAATGACACAAAGATGTAGAAGTGGAGTTTGTAACATTTCCCTGCCTTCTCAAGTGTTGTTAAATGACTTTGGACCCTCACAAAAAAACTGAAATAATATAAGCTTTTTACACAGCAGTCAAAAATGTAAAGACATTTTTTTCCCTCTTTCATCCAAGAAAGAGGGATATTTTTTCATCATATTATACTTTATATACCCAAACCAATAAGTGCACATAATGGAAGAGCCTCATTTCAAACCAATAAACATCATCAGCAACATTAGAGTCCAAGTGAAAAATCTGTTGGTTGAAAATTGAAATCATGCATATTTTCACTCTGCCATACAACAAGGGCTGCATTCCAAACCAAACAGCTTTAATCTTCACTTCAGCTGGACTTCAGTGAAGCCGCAGGATGTTTACTGAGCTTGGGTCAGAACCAAACTGGAAAGAAAACTCTTTAGTTTTCTCTCCCGTTGTTATAATGAGACAGTTGTCACAGCCTTAGTCACACACCAAGCACAAGCTGCTCAATCTGAAAGTATTTTTTCACTAGTAAAACATAAACAATATTTCAATCCAATTCCAATATACTGTGGAGGTGTCGTGTGTTCTATGTGATGCAAATTTAGGTTGATAACTAAAGCAAATACTGGAGTTTTACTGAGGATTTTAAATTTAGGACCCTGTAGCAGGATTTTACTATTTCAAGGTGGGCTGTTTATAATGAGCAAAATGAAAAACAGGGCTCCTGAAGTAGATAAAATGGAAGCCCATGGTTAAAAAGAACATAGGATCATACATAGGAGCTAAACTTAAAGACAGAGAAAACTATGACAGCCTGGGGTAGCTAGTGCCCCACATCAACAATTAATCCCAGATTTTGGTTCAGTTTTATGTGTCATACCCAGAAATCCTTACTGCTATACTTATAGCCCTTATATAGAAACAGTATGACCACATGAAGCAAGCTAAAAAGCCCTAAAAAAACTGACCGTATTTAGCTTAATATAAAGAAATCTTGCAAAAGATGGCAATACAAAGGGTTAAAAAGCCATAGAAAGTTTTGAAGCCCCCACCCTGCAAACTGCTACAAACTGACAGGTTTCCATATGTACAGCAACAAAGGATTCCCACACATGCGCTAACATCTACAAAAGTAACAGCAGAGTTTCAGTCTCGTTTCAGAAGCTACCCGGTTGATTGTGGATTTTGAACCAACATATTTTTCTTCTCTGCTGTGTTTGCGTGGACTGCCTCATTATCACTCCACACAAATACTTCTTTTCTCACTCCTGCTTCCAATTTTTTCCTACCAATTCTTTCTTTTTTACTGTTGCGGCAGCATTAACGGGCCACTCACTGGCATGTCATAAGTATTCCAACATCTATTAAGGCACCATCTTTGCGGTCAAACATTTTTGTGCAGATATACAGTACCATCTTCTGCCCCATGTGAACACAGTCTTAAAGAGAATGTCACTGCAAAGACGAGCCACTGAAACAGCAGTCATTACATTTTATAACACTCACTGCAAAACACGTTCACAATTAGGGTGACATTTTTTCACCCAGAAAACATAACAATGTTACCATGAGCGAAATATGGACGTATTCATTCAGTTGGCTTTGAAATAATACTAATTTCTCCTAATCTTCATGACTCGGATCAATACCAGGGATATTTCTGCTGATTACTAAACCACTGTTGTTACCATATGTATTTTTTCAAACCTATTTTGAGTGGGAAGGATAGGAAATATTCCTTTAATGTTCCACAGAGGGGAACTTGACTTCTACCAATCCCTTGGGAGCAGTGAGCAGTCAAACACCATTCTGGAGTTAAGGATCTTGCTCAGGGACCCAAAGTTACAGCTCAAGATTCAAGCCAGAGGATTTGCAGCATCTCCAGGATGCAAACGCCCTGCTTTCCCACCAACGCTACCCTTTCAAAAAAAACTGAAATGAACCGGAGATTACCCAGAAGCATACGGTTGCTGACTATGCTGCTCTACCAAATGAGCCACCATCCTCTTGATTGCATTTACTTCTTTAATTTATTTCTTCCTCTGCAGTGTTTTGATTAACCTATAGGGATCCCTGAATATTCTGCTCTTAATCAAATCTTTAAATCAATCATGATACGTGACTTGCAGTGCGTCTCACCTCTTGTTTGAGGCCATAAAACCGTCATACTCAGCAGACATCTTACAGGAAAGCGCCTGATGGCTGTGATCTGACTGGCACCTCGTTACCACCATGTTATAACCTGGATGAGAAGGAAAGAGGTTGGCTGAGAGAAGGAAGGAATAACGACTGGTGTTCTTAGGGATTTGCAATTGGTTACAAGTAGGAAATCAAAACAATGCCCTGATCCTTTTTCTGATCATTTTTTTTATAAAGGAGAAGAAATAAATAGAAAATTATGGAGAAATGAACAATGTAAAAAAGAAAATATGTGAAATGATCAATAAAAATGATTTGAGAGAGAAAGATTGAAAAAAATCATAATACCATTACTTAAACAGAGTAAGAAAATTCATTAGTAAACAATAAAATATGTGTTGACATAAATAGAAATATGTGATTCTAAATTCAGCTTTCAGGTTTTTATTAAAAAAAAAAAAAAAAAACTCTCCACATGATCTTTGGGCCCCAGAGGCAGTGATCAGCTTCCATTTACTCACAGTCAGCCACTGATTTAGGGTGATGAGGTCTGGCCTGGCACTTTGTGTTTAAATTGACCATCCATTAGCTGTCATATCAGATGGTGAAATAGACTAGAAATGAGAAGCTAGCTTGAGATGAGGAGCCTGTTTCGAGCATAACAGCGGATGTCAAGCGATAAATCTGCCTCTGCATCATCGCAGGCAGCAAATGTGGAAGAGTGGATTGCAAGGCTGTAGATTTTAGGGGCATATTGTACACATGCAGATGAATGTCCTTCAAATTTAGCCTGGCATGCCTTTCTGTTCCTGCCATACTGAAGAATGAAATATCTTCCTGTTCTGTTGTTTTGAGAACGGTCAGTGTATAAAAAGATTTATTTTAAGAAGACATGACTATATTTAGTAGCTGCAAAATCTCTGTCCTAGAGAACCTGGAGAATGAAATATACAATGTCTTACAAAAGTACTTTATATCTCTTGGGCTGTAAAGCATCACACTATTATAACAAATGTTGATGTTTTGAGACCTAGACCAACATATGAAAAACATAGTTATTAAAAGGAACTTAATTTCGGTAAATGTTAACGTCGGTAATCTAGAGTGGGATCCCCCCCAGTTATCCAGGTTGGCACCATAGGATTGGTGTGTATCGGGCAGAGTTAAATTGCATATCGGGCAGAGTGAAATTACCTGTAGATAATGGGAAAGATTTTGCAGTTCTATGGTAGTAGAACAAAAGGCAAGGTTCTGGGGAATTGTCAACTGCCCAAGGAGACATTTTTGATCAAATGCTAACAGCTTTAAAGATAATTAGAAATCAAATAGTAGAAAATTAGCTCAAACAAAGTCCTCTTCTTCTCCATAAAAAAATAAAAATAAAAAAAAATAAATGTAATCTAACAAAAACTTCCAACTGTTTTTAATATTCTTTTT